CATAGATTGCATTGCACAACCCACAATTTATATTGGGCCAGCCTTAACTACCACCACTGTCCACAATCAGCGAATAGTTCAAGTAGATATTTGTTAAACACTGAGAAGCAATTGAACATTAGGTGGAAGAAAATCTTCTATCGATAATATTCCACATAATAAAACAATGCTGAAAATATAATAAGACCAAGTAATAAGGGATTCTATAGAAGTCCAAGTGCAGATTCATTGAGAACACACTTTATATATCACCTACCTACAATGTACAACCATAGGTCCATTTTTGGCATCATGAACTGAATTAATATGTTGCAATACAGCAAGTACACCAGTAGCATATATCGGTACACCCATATCAGGCCAGACAGTGAAATGAAACTGTTTTACTTCATGTTCATGGTCAGAGTTCTCCTGCACATAAGAAAGGTATGCTAACTATAGACATATACACAACATGGTATGAACTGTCAAATTGGTGTCACCCCAAAATAAAAAATTCGTTCAGCTAAATTGCTGTGTCAGCAGTGTACACATACTTGTTTCACAATGATTGTTCTTAGAAAGTAGTCAGGAAATTGTTCAGATTTCACAAGTGTTACAGATATGGAGCCATATTTCTTGCTGCCCTTGTCTGGCCAGTACTGGATACACTTAATCTAATGTATAACGAGAAAGATTAATGTTAAAAAAGATTTATGATGCAATTAGTTGTTCTGTTATACAGTGCAACATGTTTGGGCAATCATCAATGATCAGTTACTGTAGATATGCACATACCTTCCCACCTTCTGATAAGTTGGTCGCCATCAAAATTGTGGCAACATTTTCTTTTAATACCATTCTCCAAAAGTCTTTAATAGTTATATCATTTGTTCCTAAAATAACAATTACAATGATGACATGAAGTTTATAGTATTTTGTAACTTTGTTACTTCAGTTTCAATGTCTTCCCAATAAATAAAATTGTAGCATTAATATCAATAACAGTTTAACAAAGCATTACATATAGTGATACAAAGGAGTATGTACATTGACAGTAATATATTAAATGGAGCCCCTACACAGGAAGGAGATTGGATACAAAAGCCAAGCTTACCTTGGGTGGCTATGTATGCATTATTTTTCTGGTAACCCTGTCATTAAAAAATCAAAGTCAAATATATTCAGCCTCTATAATCAAATTTGATGTATGTCAAACTCACTAATTGTACATGTACAATGTAAAGTACAGACCCAGCGTAACTTAACATTTAGCTAACTTTACATGCAGCTCGCTTTCAAAACCACCATATATCTAAGTAGTGGGTAAATACTACAAGAAATAGGTTGATAGCCAGCTCTGGAGGTAAATTACGATCTGACTGTACTTTATATTGTCAATATTGAATTTTATCTAGACTAATAATGTAGGTACTCACATCAATATAGTTAGCATTGATATAATCCGAATTGGGATCATCGTTAATCACATCCAATACTACTCTAGAATGGTCATCTACATTAAAAAATAAACAAAAAAGTTAAACAAAAAAGAAACACAAACTAACCACTGGATCTGACATCCTACATATACATGTATGGTAGAGATGGCACATCCAGATGACTAGTATGTTTTAGCGCAGTTTCACTGAATTTATTATGTTGAATGTTCAAAATATCAATGATATACATGGTCATAAAGTAACATACGTGGTCATAAAGTGACATATGTTGTTTAGGCAACTTTTTTCATCAACTATTTAGAAAAAACATACTAGTGAGAGGTATTGAAACAAAAATAAATCAGTATGTAACATAATTTCCCTTCATTCACAGTGCAGGGAAAGTAAAAAACAACCAATACAAACCCCAGACACACAAAGAAATGTTCTCCCTTAACAACCTATATACTCACAAGAAAGAACATTGTGAAATCTGTTCTTCGATTTGTTCTCTGGAATACTAGCAGCTTCATGGGGAATTTCCATTTTTTTGCTTTGAGGCAACAACTGAAAATAAAAAAATAATATTCAAGATGTCAGTAATTGTTACCATTCTAATATGTTATACATGAAGATATAGGATATCGTGGATTTCATATATGAAGTGTTCCAGACTACCCATATACCCATACGTGTCATATAATATGTTAATATTTCAAGCATAGACTAATCAGATCTGTAAACCAAATTTAAACTCTTAATATGCATGGACATGACCCTAACACTAATTATGTCTGCACATTACTCCAAGCTCAGGGGTTTGGGGATTTTGCTTAAACAGGCTGAAATGAGTTAATATTATGCAAATTAACTACTTAATATGCATGGACATCACCCGATTGTCACAAGGTACCAAATTGAATCAAAAATCTGCTTTTTTAAATTAACATTTTTGAAATTTTGCAAACATTCTGAAATGACATAATTAATATGCAAATCAGCTATTTATTATTCACTGACATGGTCCAAAAACTAAATATATCCGTATTATCCCAATGTACTAAATTTGATCAAAATCCATGCACAAGTTTTATAAATTTTGCATAAAGTCTGAAATGTGGTAATTATAATGCACAGACATGACCCCAAGTCTGCATATTCACTCAAGGAACTTGTATACTAAATTAAATAAAAATTTTAGGTTTTCCTTTAAAAGGCTGAAATGAGATAATTAATATGCAAATTAGCTATTTAATATGCACAGACATGGCCCTAAAAACTATTCATGACTGTAAATTACACCTTGGTACCTAAAGTATACACTAAATGTAGTTATGTTTAAATTCCCATCAAATTTAAGTTTTTGAGATTTTGTGTGAACAGGCTTAAATGGGATAATTAATATGCAAATTAGTTATTTAATATGCATAGACACACAAAACCTATTACCCCACCCTGTTTATTTGCTCAAAAAAGAGTCAAAAAAATAAATTAATAGCTTTAATAGTAGTTCTTAAAAATATAATGCGTTTTCTGAGCTATTTCTAAACATGTTTTATAGGCAAAGGCTAAATTCAGAGAATTGAAGTTGTGTTCCAAAGTGACTGATAAGTGTGTTTAAAAATATTCAATCTAAAATGAGATGGCTTTGAGATATATATTTTAATATATATTTTTAACATGTTTAAAATTCATTCACCTCATTACAAGTGTAAAACATGACAGTTTAGAATGCATTTTCTTACATGTACAAAGCATTTTAAGTGCTGCAATTTTAACGTATTTAAATGCACTGTTATATAGTTATAAATAATATAATAATGCATTTTATTGTATTTTAATTTTGTAAGGTACTCTATACTTTGTATAAGATGACATCCTGATATTATAAATATAGTAATAAAATATAGCATAGATCTGTAAAAAAAATTCATGCAACACACCTTAAATTCTGCAACAAAATCATTTTCTTCTCGTTTCTTAATAACATAATCAGCCAAATCTTTAACTTGAATTGTGTATTGCGAGTTATATATTGGCTTGGCTTTAGGTTTTGGCTTTGGGGGAAGACCCCTTGGTTTGGTTAGTTCAGAAGTTGGCACTTCTGTTGGCTTTATAGGTTTGTCAGGTTTCACCACATCAGGAGCCTTCTTTGCTTCAGTTATATTCATATATTGAGATTCACCAGTTTCTTTATCTGTGATAGGTGTAATATTATCTATTTAGGAAAGATTAACAACAACAATAACTTAGAAATAAGGTCTTAAAAAAGTGGAATTGAAAAATAAACAAAGAAAAAAATTGCGATGTCATGAATTAGCAAATAATAAAAAAAAAAGAGATTGAAACAATATATATATATATTCATATAATACTGTAAGAAGATTGCTATAGGGTTGTATGAATGAATAACGATTTTGCTGTGTACAACTTTTTAAAACAGTATGAATATAAAGACTGTAACCATACCATCTAAACTGTACACTAATTCAGAAGGATAGAAAAATTTTTGAATGAGACGTTTATGACAACGTTTTATATATTCTTTATATTTCTTATATTATTGTCTTAGGTATCTAAAATCAGGTCATATGCATTATTAGTTCATACATATCAAAGAATTTATGAGATCAGACATCGCACCGTGATTGGTATACCTATATATATATATATATATATATATATTTAGTGACAGGCAAAAAAATCACAATGTCCAGGATATTCTAACGTGGAATAGAATCTTACCTCTTTCTGAGCTTGTTATATTATCCTCCACATTTGCATAAGTATTCTCTGACGGTACATTTCGACCACTTGCTTCATGTTCATTACTTCTTTTCTGTTTTCTTTGGCGCCTAATATTTAATAACAATAAAAAACGAACATCAACACGGTAATATTATATTATATTATGAGGTTA